CACAAACACATCAAATATAACAAGTCCCAAATTGAACTAATTATCTTTCTGCCTGCTTCTCCTCCAATATTTCTTAACAGAAATCAGTTACTTCTCTCCATGCCTAGGTCAGTTATCCTAGTCCAGATCTTCTCTTACCCAGGCTCATACATCCTCCAGTGGATTTACTGGCTTCCTTTCTTATACTCTTCTAACTGGTTCTCTATATTATAACCAGGATGAGTTTTAGAAAACACAAGTCTGATGACATCATTCCCCTCCAGTGGCTTCCCATTCCAGAGTTCTAAACACAAGAAGACCAAGCACAATCCAGCCCTCACTTACCTATTATATAGGTGTACTGTCTATCTCATTCTACTCTAAAGCTATGTCTAATTTCTGTTACTTTTTCCACAACATGATGTTCCTCTTGCTTGCCTTCACACGTTCCAGTGGTTGACATTTGGCCATGTCAGAGATATTTTTGGTTTTCACAAGAAAGGAGGGGCTGTGCTGCTGGAATCTGGTGGGTTAGAGGATAGGGAGGCAGTGATACTACTAAGCATCCTATAATATACAGGATATCTCCAACAAACAGAATTTTCTGGACCAAAATTTCCATGCAGTTGAGGCTGAGAGATCCTGCCTTTGCCATTCCCTCTGTCTGGATCATTCTTATCTCCCTACCCCTACTCCACTCCTCCTCCAAACGCCCACTTATTCTCAGTCCTTTCCTTAAGCATCACTTCCTGTAGAGAATATCCTCAACCCCCTAAACTCAGTCAACTCCCATGACACCTTTTATAATATTCCTTGTTCAAGATACGTTTTCCTGCCATACTGTAAAACTCTGTGAGGACAGGACCAAATTTATCCATTCACTATTTTGTCCCCTAGTATGTGTAATACTATATATCTGTTCATTGATATCTTGAACGTGGGTTTTAAAAAATAGAACATTACTACGACTTTTTAAAAAAGCAAATACATCTCTCAGCTTCATTTTTCTTAGCTGTAAATTAGCATGTTAATGCCTATTCTTCCTACCCCACAGTTATTAACGTCCAAATGACCTGAAGTATATGTATGTTTGCACCAAAAGTCTTGTGTCCTGAGCAAACCTGTGATGACTGGCCACCCTAAATACAAAATATATTTTTTCAATTTCAACTTTGTTATGA